TCTCCTCTCTCTCTCTCTCTCTCCTCTCTCTCTCTCTCCTCTCTCTCTCTCTCCTCTCTCTCTCTCTCTCCTCTCTCTCTCTCTCCTCTCTCTCTCTCTCCTCTCTCTCTCTCTCCTCTCTCTCTCTCTCTCCTCTCTCTCTCTCTCTCTCTCTCTCTCTTCTCTCTCTCTCTCTCTCTCTCTCAATCAGTCCTCTCACTCTCGTTTTCATCTATATGTTCTTTTTGGCTGTACATATCAGTAAATTGATATCAATGGCGCTTTTTTTAAACAATACTTATCATCCTTGTGCATTCAGACTGCTGTTGATGTTTAAATATGACTACGAATTCAGTAACTGTTTTTACAATTGGCGACATGCCCGGTATGCCCGTAGAAGAATGTTCCACACGCGCACGCACACGCGCACAACACACACACACACAAAAAAAAAAAAGAAAAAACTGTGGATATCCACTATCTCCCGGGATCTCACCTCCACCTGACCCGACCAACATCACTGTCAGTAAGCCGGGAGGGGGGGGGGGGGGTGAAGGTAAGAGGGGCCGAGTGGGTGGAGGGGTTGAGGTGGACGAGGTGGAGGCAAGCCGTATCCACTTTCTACCATCGATCTCTTAACGAATTAATTAGTGTATGAGTGGTTTCGTAATAGCTTTTTTATGGGCGGGTTGCGGGAACCCGTGGGCGGAGGGATGCGGTAAAGATGGGCGTAGTGTGAGGGGAGACAGAAGAGAGAGAGAGAGAGAGAGAGAGAGAGACAGACAGACAGACAGACAGACAGACAGACAGACAAACAGACAGAAAGAAAAAGAGAAAGAAAGAAAGGAAAATATAAATAAAGAAAAAATAAATATCAAGAGAGAAAGAGAAAGTGAGAGAGAGAGAGAGAAAGCAGAGGGCAGAAGATGGAAAGGAAAAGAAAATCCAGAAATCGATGGACAGATTGTAGGATTGGCCGATAAGGAAGAGAGATAAGGCCGGTAACTTTTTTTCCGGGCGACTGAAACCCAATTTCCTCGCAGCTGAGACGAAAGATTAAAAAAAAAGAGAAGTGACTCGCCAATTAATTATAAAGAAATGTAATGTTGAAAATGAATACGATGATGAAGCACAGGAAGGAGAAGGGAGATGACGAGGATTACACTAATCGTAGGGATGGTGTAATGAAAGT